GGATAAGCCAGCGGCGGCTTTTCTGCAAGAAACGTGGTAGTGCATGAAGTCGGGTCTAAAGCATCCCGTGAGAGATCCAGCGACGCTAGCGACCCAAGTGTAGAAATCTAGGCCTGTGGGGGGAGCACGGAAAGCCATTTGGAATCCCATGACGCTCAACTGTAGTCCCCGGCTTCCCACAACCAGGCCTGTCTCGCCCGGCGCTCCCATACGCTCACAGGAACGTTCGCTGGTTTTCCGAGCCGAGCGATCCTTCCCGGGTCACAGAACACTTGCACACACCTTCGTTTTTGGAATTAAAATGTTTACAGTTACTGTTGTGTCCGGTTGCTTGAATTCTGCTGTAGCCTTTATTAGGAGAATGACATTTGGGCAAATTCTGGGACTTTGCCCACCTGAAGACCCCCTACCGGGTAAAGCAGAAACCCGGTTCCTTGTGGATGTAAGGGGGGGGGGGGGGGGGGGTCCATGAAGAGTATCATCACCGGCCTGTGGTTCATCCCTTCTGGAAAGGAAAGAGTTAGAAATACTCATTTTGGAAACAGTTCTGCAAGTTTCTTCAAGGAATCTAGGATTTGGAAGTGTGGGGAGTAGGGGAGGGCATGGTGGAGAATTTCCTCCCCCCCCCCCCCATAAGTAGATGGTAATACTTTTTCTTTTTTCAAAATAAGAATTGCCAATTAATAGGTAGGCTCTGTAAGCAGAGGCACAGTACATTGTTCTCACATCAGTGATCCCTGGAGATGCAAAGTTGGCTATTGATTTAAATGCAGGTGATTGTCTAATGAGAGGCTGATAGAACCTTACTGTAGTTCTCCAAATTGGCCAAACCAAACTTGGCTGGCAGTCCCTGAAATCCTCTTGGGCCACTTTACAGCCAAGCCCTCAGGACTAAATGCCCGGCCCTGAGCTGTGAGCGTGGCCTCCCCACAAAGGGCATCTCCATGAATTCCGTAAGAAAAACGACAGATGCCCAGTAGCAGCCTGATGTGAGCTGACCACCCAGTGGGCATCCAGAAGCAAGCGACGCAGAAAGCCATTGTGTTCCGCAGAAAATGAATCTCCTGGGGCACCTGGGTGGCTCGGTCGGTTAAGCGTCCGGCTTTGGCTCTCAGGTCAAGATCTCACGGTTGGTGGGTTCGAGCCCCGCGTCGGGCTCTGTGCTGACAGCTCAGAGCCCGGAGCCTGCTTCGGATTCTGGGTCTCCCCCTCTCTCTGCCCCTCCCCCGCTCACATTCTGTCTCTCAAAAATAAATAAACGTTAAGAAAAAAAAATAAGGAAATGAATCTCCTGAAAATAAGAAAATGAATCTCCTGACGGTGGAGAGACACGTCAATGTAAACGAGAAGCCGAGAGCTCCCGCTGCTCCTGTGCGCTGTTCTGCTGGTGCTTCGGGAGCGGCTTCCCCAACTGCAGACTCGGCCGCTTATCCCGGTTCTCAGCGCAGAGGGAGCAGAGCAGCTTGGTTATGGTTTGTCAACAACAGCGAAGGCCAAAGTCCTCGGATCTGAACGTAAGCGTGCGTGGTCTGCGGGAGTAGAATCCTCCGGGCGTGCATGGCGGGAGTGCGTACACGTAAACACGCTTACGTGCGCGGGCGTGCGTGCCCACAAAGGGAGAGATGGGGTCGGACCCCTTCCCGGACCCTGCAGGCCGGTGGGCAATGCAGCCACGCTTTTCCTCTACGTTGTGGCAAACCACCTTTCCGTTTTCGACGCGCATCAGAGAATTCCTTGCAAGACAACGGATTAGCCCCCATTTAAAGGCGATATTCCTAAAGTGACATCTCCTGCAGAAGTCGTTTAAATGCGCTGCCAGCATACATCCAAAGGGTTATGTTTTTGGACACTGAACGAAACGGTTTTTCCTCTAAAGAGGTTTGATATAAATCGTGTGGCTAACCGGGCATTATTGATTCTAAATCAATGCGTTTGCACTGTGTGCTAAAACCATCTGTCTGGCAGGTAGTTTTCTAAAATCACTCGATGCTCCGGCGTCTCCTTGCCTGTAAAGCGTGCAGCGCGGCCCTTGTGTCCTCAGCCCCTCTCAGGCCTCCTCCACCGTCCAGTGGTTTGGTCCAAGTCATTACATTCTGGGGACACAGCACCCACCATCAGCGCACACACACACACACTCACACACACACCCACGTGTGCAATCTTCCCAGATGCAACCTTCGTGAATTCCAAGACGGGAAGAGAGAGAGGGGAAAGGGCCATTCCACTTTTTCTGGGCCACCATCGCCCCCTACCCCGCCCTGGATGACCTGGGGGCTGGGAATGGAGGGGGCCTCTGGACTTGCAATTGTGCTGGGAGCTCTGACAGATGAGGGCCCATGAATTTGAGAGACTCGTCCATCCCTGCACATGCGCATATTCAGAGGTAGAGGGGAAAAAAAGGTTTTTTTTAAAACGCTGTACCGTAAGTGGCTGGTGGTGCGGTCAACTCATTCTCCACATCCGTTCTGCTCTGTCCCGTCCGTGTTATTCCAGCTGAAACTCTTCCCACAAACAGTCCACCTGTCCATTTTGTGTTTTCAAAGTGAATTCTTCCTTCAAGTCTGGCCCCTGAGCCAACTATCTGTTAGGTGTCTGGATTTGAAGAGGAGGCATTTCAAACCCAGATATGAACGGGAGCTCCCGACGTCAGCCCGTCCCTGCCACCGCACCCCTTCCTCTCCCAGACCGCCTCGTCTCGGGTAGTGGCACGGTACGGGTGGACCCGCGCCCTCGGCTTCCCCTCCGGTCCTGGCCTGTGCTCGGTACGTGGGCCTCCAGTGGTGTTCTGCCTCAGCGTCTCTTGAACGCTCAGAATGCGCCTTCTACAGACTGCGCGCGGTCAGTCGTGGGTCAGAGTCATTTGTGAAGCCATCTGATCTGATACCACAGACTGGGGGGGTGGGGCAGCAAAGGCTGATTTCTCACCGTCCTGGAGGCTGGGAGGCCCAAGATCGAGGCTCCAGCAGATTCAGTGCCTGGCGAGGGCCTGCCTCCGGGTTCACAGATGGCCATCTCGCGGTGTCCCCGCGAGGCAGAGGGGAGAGCCCTCCCCGATCTCTTATAAGCGCCCTAATTTCATTCACGAGGGCTCCACCCTCACGACCGGATCCCCTCCCCAGGGCCTCCCGCCTAACACCATCGCACTGGGACTTAGATTTCAACGTAAGAATCTGGGGGGGGGGGGGGGGGGGGGGGGG